CCCCAAAACCCCAAAACCCCAAAACCCCAAAACCCCAATTTAAACTCACAAATGGTTTTATTTGATTTAAAATTCAAAAATAAATAAAATTTTTATAATAATTTAAATCTTTCCGCCTAAGATGAGTAAAAGTACTGAGAAGGAAGACAAGATGTTGAAGAAGGTTAATACCTTACAGAAGATCATAACCAACGTCTACTTGCCATGGATGGAGGACAGGGCAGAGACCCGGCTCCATCTGGAGAAATTTGTGAAGCAGATTAGCAACAACACTAAGCAACAAGCTTACGGCAATGTTAAGATAGAGGTTCCAGATATTCCAGAAATCTCTAATGAAGAGATGAAAAAGAGACCTGACTTGTTGAATACCATACAAAAGACTGTGGTAAGACATCGTTAAGAGTATTTTTGAGAAACTAGCTTCTTGTAATGGACAGGGAAATCTTATTTTGTTATACATGGCATATCTAACAGTAGAAGTACATTTGAGGTACCAACCATTAGGATTATTAAGGCTTTAATGTCCAGAAAGACTTCGAATGAACTCCTAGCATTTAGAGACTAGAGAAGTAAACCTTCCTAAAAATCTTTTTTGGATAATGGCTAATATGGATATATTTGAATGATTTAAAATTACCTGGTAGATTCTTAGTTTTTCAATTGGTTCCTTGTGCCTCTAGATTCCTTCTCATCAAATTAGTTAGAAGAAGCATATAAAAGATGAGGAATATTTATCCTTGTCGCTCCAAAGATGCTAGCTTAGTCTAAAGATTATCTGCTAACTTAAGAATATTAGGACCAATGGGCTCAAACAATATTCACCACCATTGAGCATGAGAATGAGAAAAAGAGAGAGGGAAATACCGCCCTTGATGAAATAGAATTCTGGAGGTCGAAATCAGCTACCTTCAGCACACTATATCAGCAGTTATTGCTGCCAGAAGTTGACAGAATCGTAAATGTAAGATTTAAATTTACAAAAAAATTGAACCATCTTCTGACCTCTTTCTAGCTTAATGAAGAACTTAATTCTGAGGCTACAAGTGTCGAGAGTTATAAGAAGCAGAAACAAAACTTCATGAAGGCACATGCCCAAGCCAAAGACTATGTGAAGTTCATGACCACCTTGGAGAGACAGCTTAAGAACATATCGAAAGGAGACCTCACCTTGATTGAAGAAACTATTACAAGTCTTCTGAATGGACTGAAGCTGATCTGGACCATTTCTCGACACATTAACAGCAACGACGAGAAAATGAATGAATTGCTGATGGACCTGACCAATGAAATCTGAGAGAAGGTCAAAGCCAAGATCAACCTCAAGACCATCTTTGACATGAAGCCTGAGACTGCGATTGATCTGATTACCACTGGACAGAGAGTTATTGAAAAGTGGGAGGTGCAGTACAGTCAGACCAGACAAGAGATCGAAGGTGAGAGTGGAGTCAGAAGATGGGACTACAATACCGCCCAACTCTTCGGGAGGCCAAGATATATGAGAAACATTCTGAAGGAAATCAAAGATGCTTGCAATATTAAGAAGGAATTCATCACTCTTCTTGGACCTGACTTAAAGGAGATCACTGGGAGCGGAGAGCAAATAGACAAAGTTAGTAAGAGGGTTGAAGAGTACATCGAGAAACTTAAAGAGTTCCCGAATGACGTGTTTGAAGAGAAATACAAAGACAACTGGGATGAAAGATTCACTAACTTTAAGAACAACATTGACAATGTTGATAAAGATGCAATTAAGTTGATTGATAGTACCTTCTCTGACGAGTTGAAGAGCTCTGAAGGTGCCTTCACTCTTCTTCTTAAATTCAAGAACATCAGAACCAGAGCAAGCATTGAAGAGCAACTAAACAAGAAGAATACAGATGTTCTTGAGCAATATGAGAGGGAGCTTCAAGATATGGATAGATTATTCGAAGAGAGAAAGGGCAATCCTACTATCCCAAAGAACACTCCTCCTGTTGCCGGTGCCATTATCTGGGCAAGATCCATCTTTGGTAGAATTAAAGCTCCTATTGATCAATTTAAGCAAAATGAAGATTTACTGAAAGACCAGAAAGGAACAGAGATCACTAACAAATACATTGCTCTCTGTAAGAAACTTGAAAGAGAATATGAAAATGTTAAATTTGAGCAGTGGAAAAATCAAAACACTGAGAAGGCAATCAAGCTCCTCAAAAATATGATCTTGGTTAATAAAGTTGACAAAAAGCCTAACAAAAGACAGAGGAAACCTCTGAACGTTGACAATGAGCAACATGCTAGAAACTTGAGGAAGGAAGATGTTGACAGAAAATACTTTGTCAACTTTTCTCCTGAACTCAAAGTCATCATCAGAGAGGCACAGTATCTTGATAAAATTGGAAAGGATGTTCCTCAGACTATTATTAATATTGCTCTTCAAGAAAATAACTATATTCACCATGTTGATAAGTTAGAGCAATTGCTAAGATCGTATAAGGTAGCTATCTCAGACCTGAAAGATGTTGAGAAGGACCTTTTACAACAACAGATTAAAGAGATGAACATCTATATGGACAAAGGTTGTGAAAACCACAACTGGTTCAGTCTATCCATTAGGGAATACATTAAAGACTGCAAAGATGCAATCGTAAGGTTCTGTGAAACCAAAGCAAGAGTCAAACAGCATGCTCAGAATATTGAAAAGAACGTCCAGAAGATCGCAAAAGCCAAGCTGATTAGAGAAATTCCATGGAAAACTCTTGAGCCAATGGGAGTCATGAAGTTCAGTGAATACTTTGATTCTCACAGAAAGAAAGTACTTGAAGAGCTGGTCATAAACTACAAGAACATCGGAGAAATTTATCTTAAAAATGTAGAGGAAACAACTGTAAAGACAAACACTCGAGGCTCCCCTAAACTTGAGAGATATTACAAATATTGGGAGACAAGAATTTTCAATGCCATCTCTATCATGATCTTGAGAGCAATGGCTGCTGCTAAGACCATCTTGTTTGGTCCATTTGATGAGAGACCTCTGATCAAGATTTCGGCTGAGTTCCACAATCCCCAAATTATTTATCATCCTTCTAAAGATGACCATGCAAACCAATTCGAGAAGTTCATCAGAGACATTTTAGAATCTGCTAAAGCTTTCGGTAGATGGTGGAAAGGATATTGCATCATCTTCAAAGAAACGCCACATCCAGAGACTGCCGAGATGTACATTCCATTCACATTCTTTGATGAAGTAAACGAGAGTCCGATGATCACAGACATTAGTATCAAGCTGGTCCAGACTAAGGAAAATATTTTGAACAAAATGGACAAGCAGTCTGAGAAGTTCAAAGAAGATATGAAGAACAGCAAGCTTTTCCACAAAGACGAGAAGAACAAGATCAAGAAGAATCTGGACAAAAACCCTCACACTGCTTACATTGACAACCAGATTATTAAGTATAAGAGGACCATTCACGAAATCCGGAACAATTACAAAGAAGTCTACTATAGTTACTGCTTCATCATAAGCTTCAAAGATGTCCAGGACAAGTTCATTGAGAAAGGAGTCGAATGGATTAACATGTTTGGGAGCAAGCTCAAGGAGATCGCCACCAACAACATTGCAGCCATTGTTGAGGAGATTGAAGAGTACCACAAACAACTCAAGATCAGTCCAGGAGATAATGAGTCTTTGGCTACTTTGCTTGGAAATATCAACAAGATTCAAGGTCTTTCTATGGACATGGAGCTAAGGATCAATGACATTCAAGAACAATTTAGAATTCTCAAGATGAATGACTTCGATGTTGATGAAGACTTCCACAAAAGAGCTGACAATCTCGGAAACGAGTGGGCCCAACTGATCTACCAAGCCAAGAAGACTGACTTCGAGTCTTTACAAATGAAAGAGTCATTTGCTAAAATCACCCAGGGAGAGGTTTCTAAGTTTAGTGAAAAGATTAAGAAAGTGTATGAAAAGTACCTCGAGCAAGGCCCAGGGACTGAGGAAATCACCCTGGAGAAAGGACTTGAACTCCTCGAAGCTTCAAAAGAACAGGTCAACGAGTTCAACAGAGAAAGAGAACTGAAGGTCAGAGCTGAGAAGCTGTTTGATCTTCCAATCTCTAAGTACGATTCATTAATTCAGATGGAAGAGATGAACAAGAAATATGACCTTATTTATTCAATTTATAAAGATCACCAGAACCAAGTCAAGGAGTGGTCTTTGAAGCCATGGAATAAATTGGACATCCAAGAGCTGCTTAAAGGAGCTGGAGAGTTTGACAAGAAAGTCAAGAAACTACCAAGCAGAAACGCGGGAATTGATCATCTCCCTCCATATAGAAAATTGAAGGAAGCAGTGGAGGGCTTTAAGAAGTCAGTTCCTCTGATCGAGAAACTGAAGGCTCCATCAATACAAGAAAGACATTGGGAGAAAATAATGAGCAACACTGGAAATGATCTCGAAAAGATCAATCTGAAAACAATCACTCTAGCAAAAGTCTTCGAGTTGAATCTCCAAGACCACGAAAAAGTTGTGGATGACGTCCTCATTCAAGCCAATGCTGAGGAGAAGAATGAGAAGAACCTCAGAGCTATCGAACAGACCTGGAAGACCATGCAGTTCGAGGTTGTGAAATACTTCAAAGGAAATGAAGAAAGAGGATGGGCCATTAAGAGTCCAGACGATATCAGGCTAGCCTTAGAGGATAATATCCTTAATCTCCAGAATATTGCTGGCTCCAAATTTGTCAGAGCATTCCAGAAAAGAGTGAAGAAATGGGAGAGAGACCTCAACCTTATTAGTGATGTTATTGACATCTGGCTGGTTGTCCAAAGAAAGTGGATGTATCTCGAAAGTATTTTCAATGGAAGCGAAGATATCAGACAGCAGCTCAATGAGGAAGCAAAGAAGTTTGACAGGATCAACACTAATTACAGAAAGAAGATTATGGAGAATGTTGCTAAGAAGAGTAATGTCTATGCCTGCTGTGTCGCAGCTGAAGGAGGAAACAGACTGACTGAGCTCAGAAACATTTCTACCGAGCTTGATAAGTGTCAGAAGAGTCTTACCAATTACTTAGAGTCAAAGAGGAATACCTTTGCTAGATTCTATTTCATTTCTTCAGATGATTTGCTGTTCATTCTTGGGTCTAGCGATCCCAAGACCATCCAGCCTCATCTCCTCAAGCTATTCGATAACTGTAAAGAACTCAAGTTTGCTAGAGGAGACAAAGTCATCGAAGGAATGACTTCGGACGAAGGAGAAACCTTCGACTTTGAAGTAGATCAGAAGCCAGAAGGAGCTGTTGAGGACTGGATGACTCGAGTCGAAGATGAGATGAAGAACACTCTTCATGTCATTGCCAAGAAAGGAGTCATGTTCTACGCCAAAGACAAGAGGACGGAGTGGATCAAAAAGCAACTCGGAATGATCTCTGTGGTAGGCTCACAAGTGTGGTGGACCTTCTCTGTTGAGGATGTCTTCAAGAGAGTCGCTGAAGGTGACAAGCATGCCATGAAAAATGAGTTGAACAAAGAGAGCCAGGATTTGATGGACCTGATTGAAATGGTGAGAACCGACATTGACTCCAATACCAGAAAGAAGATCAACGCCTTGATTATATTGGATGTCCACGCAAGAGATATTGTTGACAGATTCGTTAGAGATTCAATTCTTAGCGAGAAAGAATTTGATTGGGAAAGTCAGCTGAGATTCCTATGGGATAGGAAGAGAGATGATATTGTCATCCGGCAATGTACTGGGGTGTTTGACTACTGCTATGAATACCTTGGGCTTTCTTCAAGGCTCGTAATCACACCTCTGACCGATAGATGCGTTATGACATTGACAACAGCTCTTACTTTCCATCTCGGAGGAGCCCCAGCTGGTCCAGCAGGAACAGGGAAGACAGAGACTGTGAAAGATTTAGCCAAAGCATTGGCTATCAGATGCGTTGTCACCAACTGCGGTGAGACTTTGGATGCTGTTGCTATGGGATCAATTTTCTCAGGGTTAATCCAGACCGGCTTCTGGGGATGCTTTGATGAATTCAATAGAATCAATCCGGAAGTGCTTTCAGTCATCTCCTCTCAGTTACAGCAGATCCAACATGGGTTATCCAAAGGAAGCAAAACCAGAATTGAGTTTCAAGGAAATGTAATCAGACTTGTTCCAACTGTGGGAATATTCGTCACAATGAATCCTGGATATGCAGGACGCTCTGAACTTCCAGATAATCTCAAGGCTTTATTCAGGCCAGTTACAATGATTGTTCCAGATCTCATTCTTATTTGAGAAAACATGCTTATGTCTGAAGGGTTTGCAATGGCCAAGATCCTCGCCAAGAAAATGACTGTATTGTATAAACTCTCAAAAGAGCAGCTTTCTCAACAGTATCACTATGATTTTGGATTGAGGGCACTAAAGTCAGTCTTGGTGATGGCTGGATCACTCAAGAGAGAGTACTCAGAACTTGGAGAAGATCTTGTGCTCATGAGAGCACTCAGAGACATGAATGCTCCAAAGTTTGTGTTTGAAGATGTTCCATTGTTCCAAGGATTGATCAACGACCTTTATCCGGGAATTCAGCTTGAGAGAGTTGGGTATGAAAGCATGAAACAGAAGATCGTTGAAATTTTAGATAGAGGATTGTACAAGCACGATGATGAGAAGAAATTCAACGACCAGGTCAACAAGGTCGTCCAGCTATATGAAGTGATGCTGACGAGACACACAACCATGGTTGTTGGCCCTACCGGTGCTGGAAAATCAGTAATCATCGAGACTCTGGCTGAAGGCCTTCATGCTGAAACTGACATACCAACTAAAGTGAAAACAATCAACGCCAAATCAATTACTATTCCTGAGTTGTACGGAATCCTTGATCAAGAGTCAAGAGACTGGACTGATGGGCTTCTGTCCAAGATCTTCAGAGACATGAACGAAGACTTAGACCCCAAGAAGCAAGAAAGGAGGTGGATAGTTTATGACGGAGATGTAGATGCTGTTTGGGTAGAAAATATGAACTCGGTCATGGATGACAGTAAGCTTCTTACTCTCGCTAATGGAGAGCGTATCAGGCTACAGAAGAACTGTTCAATGCTTTTCGAAGTCTTCGACCTGCAATATGCTTCTCCAGCTACAATTTCAAGATGAGGAATGGTCTATGTAGATCCAAAGAACTTAGGATATTACCCATTCTACGAGAGATGGTGCAAGCAGAAACTCAAGAAGTACTCTGAGATTATGTATGACAGTCTCAAAGAGCTTTATGAAAAGTATGTTGATGCCTGAGTTAGCAGAATTTATGATGGAATCATTATTGGCGAGCCAGATGCTGATCCTCTCGCTCCACTCCAGATGTCTCTTGAAAGAGCAAACCTGAGTTGTGTCAAACAGCTCTGTACTTTGATGGATGCCTTGCTCCCTGATGAGAATCCACCTCAGGAAACAGATCAACTAGAGAAAGTCTTTATTTTCTGCTGTATCTGGTCATTCGGAGCAAATCTCGTGGGAGAGGACAGAGACAAGTTCGACCAGTTCCTGAGATCGTGCAGTTCAATCCTTCCTCCATCTTCTCCTTATTATGATAGCATAATAGACATTTCAAACCAAAGTTGGATCCCTTGGAAGAGAAAGGTAGAGGAATATACTCCTCCTGAAGATGGCAAGTTTGCAAAGATCCTTGTTCCAACTGAAGACACTGTGAAGTATTCGTGGCTCCTGGAAAAAGTAATGGGCATCAAGTCTCCTTGTCTCTTTGTTGGTGAGTCAGGAACCGCCAAATCGGTGACAATCTTCAGTAAACTGAAGACGCTAGATCCTTCATCAAATATTGTTTTGAACATCAATTTCTCATCAAGAACCAACTCCTTGATCTGTCAGAACTCCATTGATGAAAATGTTGAGAAGAGAGGGTTTTTCAGGCAATATGGTCCCACCGGAGGAAGGAAACTCATTGTTTTTGTTGATGATCTTCACATGCCAGTCGTTGATATTTACGGAACTCAGCAGCCAATCGCCTTTCTCAAGTTCCTGATTGAGAGAAATAATGTGTACGAGAGAGGAGAAGAGCTCGAGCTTAGGGAAATTGTTGATACTCAGTATATTGGAGCAATGGCCCCACCAGGAGGCGGAAATGCTAATGTAGACCCAAGGTTCTTATCGCTGTTCACTATTTTCACTCTTTTGCCTCCCACAGAGGATACAATCAAGAAGATTTACACAGAAATTTTAGAGAAGCATTTGGTTTCCATCAACATCGAAGAAGAAATCATTAAAGGTGTTCCATTGAAAATCGCAGATGCCACAATGAGACTATATCAGACTATTAGTGAGCAATTGCCAAGAACTCCAATTAAATTCCATTACATATTCAATTTGAGAGACTTAAGTAGAGTCTACGAAGGATTATGCAGATCCACACAAGACAAGTTCGCAACTGTTGAATCCATTGTGAGGCTGTGGAGAAATGAGGCTCTAAGAGTATTCTCAGACAGACTCGTTACTGATGAGGATAAGAAACTTGTCGGAGAAGAACTTATTCCTAAATATGTCAAGGAGCTGTTCCCAGGGACTGAGGAGCAAGTCTTAGCTGATCCAATTTTGTTCGGTGACTATGCTCTTGCTGATCCTATTGATGGAGAAGATGGCCAGCCAATGTTGTATGAAGACCTTGGAGATTACCAGAAAGTAAGGGGAAAAATGGATAAAATGCTTGAAGACTATGCCTATGAGAACAAAGCAATGAACTTGGTCTTGTTCGATGATGCCTTGAAGCATCTCACTAACATTCACAGAATTATCAGGTTCCCAAGAGGGTCAGCATTATTAGTAGGAGTTGGTGGCTCTGGAAAGCAAAGCTTGACAAGGCTTGCTACTTTCACAGCAAGCTACAAACTGAGGACAATCAATCTTGCCAGAAACTACAAAGAAGACGACTTTAGAGAGGACTTGAGGGAAATATATCAAGAAGTGGTCAAGAAACCGCTCTGTTTCATGTTTACAGATGCACATGTTGTTGAAGAAGGATTCCTCGAGCTTATTAACAACATGCTCACCATCGGTATTGTTCCAGGTCTTTTCCCGGAGGAAGAGAAGGACGGGCTCATCAATGAAATTGAAGAAGATGCTAGAAAGCAAGGAGTCCCAGAAAACAAGGAAGCTAAATGGGACTATTTCGTCAACAGATGCAGAGACAACCTACATGTTGTGTTGGCAATGTCCCCTGCTGGTGACACTCTCAGAGTCAGGTGTAGAAACTTCCCAGGACTTGTTAGTAACACCTCAATTGATTGGTTCTTCCCTTGGCCGAAGGAAGCCTTAGAAGCTGTTGCTGCTCACTTTTTGCAAGATGAAGATTTAGACGACAAGCTCAGACAACCCATTACCGACCATATTGTGGCTGTGCATTTATCTGTACAAGAATACTCTGCTAAATACGAAGAAGAGTTCAGAAGGAGGAATTACTCAACTCCAAAGAATTATCTAGATTTCATAAACTCTTACACAAAAATGCTTGTAAATGAGAAGAAAGTTTGTGATGGAAAGGTCCATCGACTCGAAGGAGGATGCTCGACTCTTGAAAAAGCAGGAAAAGAAACAGCAGAACTATCCGAAGTCTTAGAAGAGAAGAATAAGAAAATTAAAGAGAAGGCAGAAGTTGTTGAAGATTTAATTAGAGATATCAATGAAAAATCCAAAGTTGCTGGAGAACAACAAGTGATCGCTCAGGAGAAGAAGGAATACCTCGATAAAGAAAGTGTGATTATTTCTAAAGAAGAGAAAGATGCTGCAGAAGCATTGAAAGAAGCTATCCCAGCATTTGAAGAAGCAAAGGAAGGTCTTAAGAATGTAGAAAAGAAGGATTTAATTGAAATGAGAGGAGTCAATACTCCAGTAGCTATTGTAGAAATGGTTTGCTGATTAACCTTCTATCTCTATCCTGCCGCTAAAAAGATTTTATCGAATGATGATTGGGATACCATCAGAAAAGTACTTTTGGGAGATGTCAAACTTCTTCAAAACTTACAAGGTTATGAAATTGAAACATTAAAAGATAATCAAGTAAAGAAGAGTAAGATCAAACTTGCTGAACTTGAAAAGAAAACTGGATGCTCTGGAGACCCAGATAAACTTGGAAATATTGTAAAAACTGCAAGTAAAGCTTGCTATGGTTTGTACATTTGGTCTAAAGCAAATCTTAAGTGTTATGAAATCTACAAAAATGTCGAGCCAAAAAGGAAAAAGGCTGCAGAGATGAAGAAGAAACTCATACAAGCTGAGAAGGAATTAGCTGAGACTGAAGCAAATCTTAACGAATTGAATGCTACACTTGCTGAATTAAATGCAGAAAGAGAAGTGAAAGAAACAGAGTTGAATGGCTTGCAAGAAGAATCCGCAAGAATGCAGAAAAGATTAGATGCTGCTACAAAACTTATTTCAGGTCTTTCAAGTGAACAGAAGAGATGGACTAATGATATGAAGGTTTACGAGGTTGACAAATTAAAACTTGTTGGAGACTGTCTTATTGGATGAGCCTTTTTGAGTTATTGAGGAGCATTTAACTATGAATTCAGAAACCAAATGGTTTACCAAGATTGGCTTGGAGGAGTGAGTGAGAGAGAAATTCCACATAAAGATGATTTTAGACTAGAGAGACTTCTCACAGACGATGTTGAAATTTCTAAATGGGCGAGTGAAACTCTTCCTGGAGATGAACTTTCTATACAGAACGGAATCCTTGTATCAAACATGAGCAGGTTCCCATTATGTATTGATCCACAAATGCAGGCTGTTGTATGGATTAAAACAAAGGAAACCAAGACTAATAATCTTAAAGTTCTTTCATTCAATCAGGGTGATTTTATGAAGCAGCTTGAAATGGCTGTTGAGTATGGGTCCAGTGTTCTTTTTGAAGGAATTGATGAAGAAATTGATCCAATGATCGATCCTGTACTTGAGAAAAACATTACAAAGAAAGCTGGTGTTTTTTATGTAAAGATTGGAGATTCTGATGTTGAGTGGAACCCTGACTTCAAGCTATTTTTGACTACAAAGTTAGCAAATCCAATGTATTCTCCAGAAGTTTTTGGTAAAGCTTTAATCCTCAACTTCAATGTAACTTTGGCCGGTCTCAGAGATCAATTACTCAATGAAGTTGTTGGATTTGAGCGCCCAGAATTGGAAGAGCAGAGAAAGAAGCTCGTTATAGAAACTAGTGAGAACAGAACCACTTTGAAAGGACTTGAAGATACTCTACTCTCTGAACTATCTGCATCTCAAGGTCCTCTTGTAGATAATGAGCCATTGATTCAAACACTTGATCATGCTAAATCTAAAGTAGATGAAATCAACATTGCACTCGAAGTTGCAAAAGAAACTAACGAAGGCCTTGAAAAATCAAGAGACAGTTACAGAAGAGTTGCAATGAGAGGAGCTATTTTGTTCTTTGCAATGTCTGGACTTTCAAATATCTCTGAAATGTACGAGTATTCTCTATCATCCTATCTTGAAGTCTTCAAGAAATCATTAGAAACTGCAAAAAGAGATCAAATCCTTCAGAATAGGCTCAGAAATATTACATTGACTCTGACAACTCGAGTGTATGACTTTACCTGTATGGGTATTTTCGAAAGGCACAAGCTAATGTTTTCTTTCCAAATGACTTGCATGATTCTTGATGAAGCTGGCGATCTTGATCATCAAGAACAGGAGTTTTTCTTAAAAGGAAATACCTCTTTAGAAGAAATAGCAAGGAAAAAGCCATATCCATGGATTTCATTGAATGGATGGAAGGATCTCCAGAAACTGCAAACTTTGGGAGATAAATGGGCTAATATTGTTGATGATGTTGAAAACAACGGGGATGAGTGGTTTGCATGGTACAACAAAGAATGCCCAGAAGATCATGATTTGCCAAACAATTACTCCAAGGGTCTCACTAAGTTCCAATTGTTGATGGTCCTTAGAGTTTTTAGAACTGACAGAGTGTACAAAGTAGTAAAAGACTTTATCATTGATTACATGGGAAGTGATCATTTTGTCAAGCCTCCAACCTTGCAATTCAATAATGTTTATGCTCAATCAACGGAAAATACTCCTATTGTATTCATTCTTTCTCCTGGTGCTGATCCACTGGCCGATATGTATAAGCTTGCTGAAGAGAAAGGAATGAGTCAAAACAAGTTTAAGCCTCTTTCCCTTGGACAAGGAATGGGAGACATTGCTCAGAATATGATTGAAGGAAGTGTCTACAAAGGATCTTGGGTATTACTACAAAATTGTCATTTGCTGACAAGTTGGCTTAAAAAGTTAGAAGTCATCATCGAGAACATTAAAAACCCTGACAAAAACTTTAGACTGTGGCTTACCACTGCTCCTACTGAAGAAATGCCTCTTGGTATTCTACAAAGATCTCTCAAGGTATTGTTTTACAAGCAAAATAGTTATAAATCGAATTTGTGCGAGTTTTGAAACAATATGATCAAAAATCTGCTCATATCTAAATACTTGATCAAATTTTGGATTTTTTCATTTTCCTACAAAGATTTAGTTAGTTTTATAAACTACTTATGGGGAAGGCATACAAACTTTTACCGAGTACAAATTATTGTATTTGCATACTTTGATTTGTAAAGAATCCAGAGATTTTTGAAAACATGAAGTTCTCTCCTAATTAGGAAGCAAATATCTTTCATACCGTTTTTATCATTCTTTATAGGTAACCACAGAGCCTCCAGATGGTCTTGGACTCAATATGAAGGGATCTTATTCCAAGATTAATGACGAAGACCTCGACAGCTGTGCCCATCCTGATTTCAAGTCACTTGTTTATGTGCTAGCCTTCTTCCATGCAGTTGTTCAAGAAAGAAGAAAATTCGGTAAAATTGGGTGGAATGTCAACTACGATTTCAATGAAAGTGACTTCAGAATTTCATTTAAGCTTATTGGAATGTATCTCACTAAAGCTCTAAATAACGAAGGAGAAGGAATTCCATGGGACACTCTCAGATATTTGATTGGAGAGGCAATGTATGGTGGAAGAGTCACAGACGGATTTGACAGAAGAACACTTGTATGTATCCTCGAAGAATATCTTGGAGACTTCATATTTGATAAACATCAAAAATTCTACTTCTCAAGAGCTGGATATGATTACAAAGTTCCTAATCCAACTCATCTGGATGCTTATGTCGAAAATATCAACGATTTCCCATTAAATAATTCTCCAGAAGTGTTTGGACTTCATTCAAATGCTCAGATTTCTTATTCTAACAATGCTACTAAGGTTCTTTGGAGTAATCTGATCTCAATGCAGATTTCTAGTTCATCTAGCTCAGGAGGAATAAACAGAGAAGAGCATATTGAAAATATTACGGATAGTGTCCTTGCCCAGCTCCCTGAAATGCTTGATCTTTACAAGGTCATTAAGAGATTCGAAAATCCAGTTCCAGCTCAGATTGTGCTTCTGCAAGAGCTAGAAAGATTCAATAAGCTGCTCCAGAAAATGCTTGAATCTCTGACAAACTTGAAGAGAGCCCTGAACGGAGAAATTGGTATGAGTCAGGAATTAGATGACATTGCCACAGCACTTTTCAATGGATTCTTGCCCCAGATATGGAGAAATCTTGCACCTCAAACTGAGAAGAACCTTGTCAACTGGATTTCTCACTTGAAGAAGAGAGATGCTCAGTATAAAGAATGGGAGAGAGAAAAGGTTGAGCCTAACGCAATGTGGTTGTCTGGATTGCATATTCCTGAGAGTTATCTAACAGCTCTTGTCCAGACCACATGTAGAAAGAAAGGAATTGCTCTTGATAAAGCTACCTTATACACAGATGTCACCACAATGCTTACTCCTGAAGAAGTCAAAGAAAAGCCAGAGGATGGTTGTTACATCTATGGGCTCTACCTTGAAGGAGCTAGATGGAATATGCAGAAGAATTGCCTTGATTTACAGAAACCTAAAGAACTTGTTGTTGAAATGCCTCTAGTGCAGGTAATTCCAGTGGAAGCAAACAAGCTGAAGCTTAGAGGAACTATTAAGACTCCTGTATACATCACTCAGGCTCGTAGAAATGCAATGGGAGTTGGGCTTGTGTTTGAAGCTGATATTAGTACTGACATGCATCTAAGTCACTGGATTCTCCAAGGAGTTGCAATGGTTCTTAACACTGATTAATTTTGAAAATTATCATTCAACTATTTTAGTTCCAAGCGGGGTTTTGGGGTTTTGGGGTTTTGGGGTTTTGGGG